GATAGATCTGTCATTTCAGCAGAGCCTTCAACATAGGAGGGATGTGGGTGGCCTTATTATGTACACGGCCAATATTGTCAAAATACCACACTTGGATCCACTTCGAGGACAGCGTGAAACAAGCTTTTATGCCACAAGACGGACAGAAAGCAGCAACTTCACTCTGGCTGTACCCTTCTCCAGAACTTCACTCCATCTGAGATCCTATATACCCAGGATGACTCGAGTATGGAACACATTCGTACAGCATAATGATGTCAACGAGATAAAGTCAGTTGATCAAATGAAAATGCTGGCCCACAGATGGCTCCAACTTCATCCTGTTCCCCACTTGTATGTCTCATAACAATAAAAATACTTTCAAATGAGCTGATGTAGGTAACAGCTCTTAGCTTGCCAATAAAGTTAGGAATCCTTAACCTGTAAACAGCTTGTCAATAAAGCTAGGGATCCTTAACCTTGTCAAACCCTGTGTATATAAAAAAAAAAGTGGGAGAGAAGAGAGAGAGAGATGGGAGAGGGGAGAGAGAGATAGGTAGAGAGAGATAGGTAGAGAGGGAGACAGGTAGTGAGAGAGGGAGACGGAGTGAGGTTTAGATGGTCATTTCACAGAAAGGTGTGAAATTGTGTGTGTGTGTGTGTGTGTGTGTGTGTGTGTGTGTGTGTGTGTGTGTGTGTGTGTGTGTGTGTGTGTACTGCTGTAGGTATTTGACGGGTATATCATCATTGGGTTTCCTTGTTACGTCCACTTAATAAATTTTTGCCTCGTGCGATCATCAAAATGGCTAATGATATCAAAAGCTCTTAATCCAAGGGACCGGAGATTCATTCCCCCGCCCCCCCCCATCCTTCAACGAATTAAATTTGATTACCTCCCATTTAAAAGCTGGTGTGTTGCCCCTTCGAATTCAGCGTTTTCCCATTAATAATAATAATAATAATAATAATAATAATAATAATAAGTTAATTCAGAAGTAGTTTTAATATACCATAGTACAGTACTGTGTGGGGCTGAATTTCAGCCACTCTCACAATTACTCCCTGGAGGTCAGGAAGAGAAAGGTCACACCTGTAATATATCTCACCATGGCACCTGGGACCCCCCCCCACACACACACAGGTTTGCAGCTAGACTAGTCCCGGAGCAAAGGGGTATGTCGTACGAGGAGAGGTTAAGGGAAATCGACCTGACGAGACTGGAGGATAGAAGAGATGGGGGGGATGCGTGCGATAACGACATATAAAATATTGAGAGGAATTAACAAGGTGGACAGACAGGATGTTTCAGAGATGGGACACAGAAACAAGAGGTCACAATTGTAAGTTGAAGACCCAGATAAGTCAAAGGGATGTTAGGAAGCATTTCTTCAGTCATAGAGTTGTCAGGAAGGGGAATAGTCTGGAGAGTCATGTAATGGAGGAAGGATCCATACACAGCTTTAAGAAGAAGTATGATAAAGCTCATGGAGCAGGGAGAGAGAGGACCTAGTAGCAACCAGTGTAGAGGCGGGGCCAGGAGCTGTGAATCGACCCCTGTAACCACAATTAGGTGAGTACACACACACACACACACCACACACCACACCACACACCACACCACACCACACACACCACACCACACACACACCACACACACACCACACACACCACACCACACACACACACACACACACACACACACCACACCAACACACACACACCACACACACACACACACAACACACACCACACACACACACACACACACACACACACACACCAACCACACACACCTCACACATCACACACAACAGACACACACACAACCACACACACACCCACATCACACACAGCACTGTCACGTGTATGTCAGCCCATACTGAGATGCAGCACTTGGAACCCGCACTGATAAGCACGTCAGAACTAGAGAGTACAGGTTGCGACAAGGTTAGTTCCAGAGCTAAGGGGAATGTCCTATGAAGAAAGATTAAGGGAAATCGGCCTGACGACACTGGAGGACAGGAGGGTCAGGGGAGACATGATAACGACATATAAAATACTGCGTGGAATAGACAAGGTGGACAAAGACAGGATGTTCCAGGGAGGGGACACAGAAACAAGAGGCCACAATTGGAAGTTGAAGACACAAATGAGTCAGAGAGATAGTAGAAAGTATTTCTTCAGTCATAGAGGTGTAAGGCAGTGGAATAGCCTAGAAAATGACGTAGTGGAGGCAGGAACCATACACAGTTTTAAGACGAGGTTTGTTAAAGCTCATGGAGCGGGGAGAGAGAGGGCCTAGTAGCAACCGGTGAAGAGGCTGGGCCAGGAGCTAGGACTCGACCCCTGCAACCACAAATAGGTGAGTACAAATAGGTGAGTACACACACACACACACACACACACACACACACACACACACACACACACACACACTCATACACATACACAAAAACACACACACACACACACTGGAACTGACAGGAAAACCAGTACAAGAAATGATGGACTATGTGGCAACAAAATGCAAGGAGGCAGAGGAGAGGTTTGTTCCCAAGGGAAACAGAAATAATGGGAAGAACAGAACGAGTCCTTGGTTCACCCAAAGGTGTAGGGAGGCAAAAACTAGGTGTACTAGAGAATGGAAAAGGTACAGAAGACAGAGAACTCAGGAAAATAAAGAGATTAGCCGAAGAGCCAGAAATGAATATGCACAGATAAGAAGGGAGGCTCAGCGACAATATGAAAATGACAGCATCGAAAGTCAAGACTGACCCGAAGCTGTTGTACAGCCACATCAGGAGGAAAACAACAGTCAAGGACCAGGTAATCAGACTGAGGAAGGGTGATGGGGAATTCACAAGCAACGACCGAGAGGTATGTCAGGAGCTCAACACGAGATTTAAAGAAGTATTTACAGTGGAAACCAGTAGGACTCCAGGAAATCAGAACAGGGGGGTACACCAGCAAGTGCTGGATGAGGTACATATAACCAAGGAGGAAGTGAAGAAGCTGCTATGCGAACTTGACACCTCAAAGGCGGTGGGACCAGACAACATCTCTCCGTGGGTCCTTAAGAGGGAGCAGAGATATTGTGTGTGCCATTAACAAAGATCTTCAACACATCATTTGAAACTGGGCAACTCCCTGAGGTATGGAAGATGGCAAATGTAGTCCCAATTTTTAAAAAGGGAGACAGACATGAGGCACTAAACTACAGACCTGTATCACTAACGTGTATAGTATGCAAGGTCATGGAGAAGATCATCAGGAGGAGAGTGGTGGAGCACCTGGAAAGAAACAAGTGTATAATTGACAACCAGCATGGTTTCAGGGAAGGAAAATCCTGTGTCACAAACCTACTAGAGTTTTATGACAAGGTGACAGAAGTAAGACAAGAGAGAGAGGGGTGGATCGACTGCATTCTTTTGGACTGCAAAAAGGCCTTTGACACAGTTCCTCACAAGAGGTTACTGAAAAAGCTAGAAGATCAGGCACACATAACAGGAAAGGCACTGCAATGGATCAGAGAATACCTGACAGGGAGGCAACAACGAGTCATGGTACGTGACGAGGTGTCAGAGTGGGCGCTTGTGACAAGCGGGGTTCCACAGGGGTCAGTCCTAGGACCTGTGCTGTTCTTGGTATATGTGAACGACATAACGGAAGGGATAGACTCAGAAGTGTCCTTGTTTGCAGATGATGTGAAGTTAATGAGAAAGAATTAAATCGGATGAGGATCAGGCAGGACTACAAAGAGACCTGGACAGGCTACAAGCCTGGTCCAGCAACTGGCTCCTTGAGTTTAACCCTGCCAAATGCAAAGTCATGAAGATTGGGGAAGGGCAAAGAAGACCGCAGACACAATATAGTTTAGATGGCCAAAGACTGCAAACCTCACTCAAGGAAAAAGATCTGGGGGTGAGTATAACACCGAGCATATCTCCTGAGGCGCACATAAATCAGATAACTGCTGCAGCATACGGGCGCCTGGCAAACCTACGGATAGCGCTCCGATACCTCAGTAAGGAGTCGTTCAAGACACTGTATACCATTTACGTCAGGCCCATACTGGAGTATGCAGCATCAGTTTGGAATCCACACCTAGTCAAGCACGTCAAGAAATTAGAGAAAGTGCAAAGGTTTGCAACAAGACTAGTCCCAGAGCTACGGGGATTGTCCTACGAAGAAAGGTTGAGGGAAATCGGCCTGACGACACTGGAGGCCAGGAGGGTCTGGGGAGACATGATAACGACATATAAAATACTGCGCGGAATAGACAAGGTGGACAAAGACAGGATGTTCCAGAGATGGGACACAGACACAAGAGGTCACAATTGGAAGTTGAAGACTCAGATGAATCAAAGGGATGTTAGGAAGTATTTCTTCAGTCATAGAGTAGTCAAGTCGTGGAATAGTCTAGAAAGTGAAGTAGTGGAGGCGGGAACCATACGTAGTTTTAAGGCGAGGTATGATAAAGCTCATGGAGCGGGGAGAGAGAGGATCTAGTAGCAATCAGTGAAGAGGCGGGGCCAGGAGCTATGAATCGACCCCTGCAACCACAAATAGGTGAGTACAAATAGGTGAGTACACACACAACCACACACACACACAACCACACACACACAACCACACACACACAACCACACACACACAACCACACACACACAACCACACACACACAACCACACACACACAACCACACACACACAACCACACACACACAACCCACACACACACAACCACACACACCACCACACACACACACACACACACACACACCACACACAACAACCAACACACACACACAACACACACACACACACATCACACACAACCACACACACACAACACACACACACAACCACACCACACACACACAACCACACCACACACACACACACACACACACACACACACACACACACACACACACACACACACACACACAATTACTCTCCTCAAAAAAGAAAGCCCCATTTTTTCTTCACAGAAAAAAAAGAAAGAGTAGCATGACTCACAGGTGTGTTTGGGAGCCTTGAAGGTGATCTGGCAGTGTAAGGGAGCGAAGTCGTAGAAGTCCTTGGCTGTGAGTCTCAGTATGGCAGCGGACTTGGCTCCTTCTTCAAGCCAGATGGTTTCGTTGCACACGCCAGCTGAATCCACTGTGGCTGCAATAGTTGAGTTTGTTTACTGAAGCTACAATTTACGAGTTAGCTGGGTCTACAGTAGCTGCAATGGTTGAGACGCATTGTTTACATTATTCAAGTTACATGCTACGACCTGTTATCCTACCTCAGCTTATTTACGCGACGGTCTGGAGTTTTGAGACGCTCTGACCGCAGGTTCAAATCCCACCCATGGTATGGTTTTTTTACGACCTGTTATCCAACCTCACCTCATTTACAGGCTATGACTTGTTATCTTACTTGAGCTCATTTACAGGCTACGACCTGTTATCTTACCTCAACTCGTTTACAGGCTACGACCTGTTATCCTACCTCAGTTCATTTACAGGCTACGACCCGTTATCCAACCTCACCTCATTTACAGGCTATGACCTTCTATCTTACTTAATGTCATTTACAGACTGCGACCTGTTATCTTACCTCAGCGCATTTACAGGCTAACCACCGGCATCCTTAACCCGGGAATTGCACCTTTGTCAATTAGACTGTAAATTAACCGTAAGGCATACTGACTGCCATCATTATTAAGACGGTGATATATCTAGTAACCGTGGAGTACAATATATTCCTTAAAATACCGGACTGTCTACTTAACCTTCTTCGCGGTGTACATACCCTCAGATATATACTTCTCGGTGTGTATATACCTCGAGGTGTATATACATCTCAATGAATAACTCAAGTATAATGAACACTTGTCAGTGCTCAGTAATAACCTACATGTAGACAGAACTCAGGAGATTGATTGATCTGTATATTTCGACCTCTTTCTGAGATCCTCTTCAATTTTACCTAAAGGTTACTTAAAGACTATTGCAGAGGTCACCGCCCCCCCGCGGTTCGGTCCCAGCCCAGGCCTCCTGGTTGATTGCCTGATCAACCAGTCTACTGGTCCTAGCTGCATACAGTACACCGTACACACAGCCTGGCTGATCAGGAACGGACTTGAGAAACTTATCAAGTTCACTCCTGAAGAGAGACAGAGGTCTGTTGGTAATTCTCATGAAATCATGGAACGGGTGAGACTTGTTCCCCTGGGAGCCGAGTCCTGAAGCTCACAGACCAGTGCGCCAACCTGCCATAGGTTCAACACCCACCCGTTCTGTGTTAGTCTTGGCCCCTTTACATTTATTGAGTTAGTGTATTCATTGCACCTCTGCTTTTCGTTTGCGGTATTTGCACTGTCTCCAGAGCGCCTTTGGTTCTTGTGGGAAGTAATTTCGGTGCATAGATTTAGAACCACTTCCTGAAGAACTTTTTCTGAATATATACTAAGAATTGATTTTAATCCATATTTTAGGTATTAAAATAGTACTGACAAGCGGGGAACAGAAAACGGGCAGCTTTAATGACCCTCGTGTAGTAGATAGGCTTTAAATCGAAATAACCAAACAATCGACTCCTCGGGATCTGAAGAAAGCTATACTCAGAATCCCAAGTCCTAATCAGGATGCCCTGAAGGCCTATTCAGGATGTGAAGACCTACTCCTCAGGATCTCCAGAGAAATAAGCTACATCAGTGACACAACACAGGCGTTCTTTAACCGGCCGTCACAATGCGGATGGTTTCCACTCAAGTTTAAAATTCCAACAAACAATTGTGGAATTTTTACTACAGAGTTTCACCAAAACTTGAAACTCTGGAGTTTCTTCGGTTGGGAGGTTTTAATTAATTTTGGCGAGGGAGGGGAAAAGGATGCCTTGAATTTTAGGAGGCCACGAGGCTTTAAATCTGTAAGGGTGGAGGTGTGTAATTTTTCGAAGAGCAAGGGGGATTTAATTAATTTTGGGAGGGCAGCGGGACATTTAAAATTTCAGGAATTCTAACTTCGTCAGTTTGAAACAGTTTTTTTTACCCCGGTGGTTATGACCAACACAGTAAACTGTATAACACAAATTTCAACTTGTCAATATCGTATCCTGGCGAGAAGACATTTATCAGTATCTCGGAAGTATGGCAGTACAATATATGTTTAACTCTAGATGTGATACCTAAGAGAAATATTTCTTTTATTTTTATTGAGCAGAGGCGACAACGAAGGTACTGTTTCTTAATAATAATAATAATAATAATAATAATAATAATAATAATAAATAATAATAATAATAATAAAGAACAAAAAGGCACAATACCGTGATTGGAACATTAAACAAATAACCCGCACATAAGAGAGAGCAGCTTACGACGATGTTTCGGTCCGACTTGGACCACTGACAAGTCACACTGACTTGTCAGTGGTCCAAGTCGGACAGAAACGTCACAAGCTTCTCTCTCTACTGTGCGCGGATCATTTGTGTGAAAATCATAATAATAATGATATAATAATAGTAATAGGAGGGAGGACTTACATATCTTGTAGGTGAGAGATGTCTTGACCAGAGACAGCAGGAGGGTACACAAGGGTACACATAACACTGGTGCTACCATCCTGCTTGTTCTCCTGCTGCTACTTGCTGCTTCTCCTGCTGCCTTTTCTTGTCTCTATTTCTTCCTGCTGCTCCTCCTGCTTCCTCCTCTCTCCTCTTACCACCTTCTTCTTCGTCCAAGTGTCGCTGCGACTGTAAAGAAAAGTCAAACAAGTTTTAAAAATTATTGGAAAAATATATTTTTTTTTATTGTTCTTGGGTCCAAAAATATTTTTTTTAACGTTGGTTTGTGTCTACTGGTTATTATTATTATAAAGATTAGCCGGTATTCTCCCGGCCCGGGCCTTTTCCAAGTGGTGGCCCGGCCTTGGCTCCCTCTTTAGGGAGTGTCTGAGACCTAAGTCTCCCATGGGAGGAGGCACAAGTACCTCATCATCTTTGGGACCAACTGTCCCCAGGCCTAGCCACAAGCTAGGCCTCTCTGGTCTGCCATCCCCGCCACAAGGAGACTAATGGGAATGACAGTCTTATGAGCTAAAGGCTCGGGCACCTACCCTACCCTAGAAGGGTTAGGCATGGTGTCGATCAAGTATTATGTGTCTACTGGTGTGTGTGTGTGTGTGTGTGTGTGTGTGTGTGTGTGTATACTCGCCTACTTGTGGTTGCAGGGGTCGATTCATGGCTCCTGGCCCCGCCTCTTCATTGAGTGCTACTAGGTCCTCTCCCTCCCTGCTCCATGAGCTTTATCATACCTTGACTTAAAACTATGTATGGTTCCTGCCTCCACTACGTCACTTTCTAGGCTATTCCACTTCCTGACAACTCTATGACTGAAGAAATACTTCCTAACATCCCTTTGACTCATCTGAGTCCTCAACTTCCAATTGTGACCCTTGTCTATTTCGCGCAGTATTTTATATGTCGTTATCATGTCTCCCCTGACTCTCCTGTCCTCCAGTGTCGTCAGGCCAGTTTCCCTTAACCTTTCTTCGTAGGACAATTCCTTTAGCTCTGGAGCTAGTCTTGTTGCAAATCTTTGCACCTTCTCTAATTTCTTGACGTGCTTGACCAGGTGTGGATTCTAAAGTGGTGCTGCATACTCCAGTATGGGCTTAACGTACATGGTGTACAGAGTCTTGAACGATTCCTTACTGAGGTATCGGAAAGCTGTTCTTAGGTTTGCCAGACGCCCGTACGCTGCAGCAGTTATCTGATTGATGTGTGCCTCAGGAGATGTGCTCGGTATTATACTCACCCCAAGATCTTTTTCCTTGAGTGAGGTTTGTAGTCTTTTGCCACCTAGACTATACTCTGTTTGCGGTCTTCTTTGCTTTTCCCCAATCTTCATGACTCTGTATTTGGCAGGGTTAAATTCCAGGAGCCAGTTGCTGGACCAGGCTTGTAGCCTGTCCAGGTCTCTTTGTAGACCTGCCTGATCCTCGACCGATTTGATTCTCCTCATTAATTTCACATCATCTGAGTATCTCTTCCGTTATGTCATTCACATATAACAAAAACAGCACAGGTCTAGGACTGACCCCTGTGGAACCCCGCTTGTCACATCCGCCAACTCTGACACCTCGTCACGTACCATGACTAGTTGTTGCCTCCCTGTCAGATATTCTCTGATCCATTGCAGTGCCTTTCCTGTTGTGTGTGTGTGTGTGTGTGTGTGTGTACCAGAGAGCCTGGACTAATCTTGTTGCAAACTTTTGCACCTTCTCTAATTTCTTAACGTGCCTGACTAGAGGTTGTGTGTGTGTGTACTCGCCTAATTGTGGTTGCAGGAGTCGAGACTCAGCTCCTGGCCCCGCCAATGTGTGTGTGAGGAGGGGAGGGGCGAGGATAGTGCTTGTGCCTTCCATGGTACTCTCTGCATCCCCTCCACATCTCTCTCCTCTCTCTCTCTCTCTCTCTCTCTCTCTGGACCACAGCTAGTGTGTCACGCAACATAATAGCCTCATAATATGCATCATGGAACATACCCACACGCTCCAAAATTTCCTTAACACCATTTTTGGAAAAAGGCTAAATCCCTGAAACCACAAAGGATTAAAATTATATTACTTATACACCTTAAAGGGGTTCTATGGAACTGGCGTTACCCCCCTTTCCTTTCCTCGGATCAAACCTCAGTGCCCCCCATTAAGAAAAAAAACTAGATGGCAAATTTAAAAAAAATATTCAGGTACAAAGACATTGGAAATATTTATCATTTATAAAATTTCTCTAATCAGTTTTTTTTTTTTTGTAAATGTGACTGTGAACATTCATCCAAAATTTAGTAGTGGGTATTTTTCGTTATGTGCAGATTGATTTCCGCTGATTTATGGTAAAAATAAATTTTCATTTTGTGAATTCGGCAGAGAACACCAGAAAGGACTCTCCGCCAGCTGTTCAGTTTTATATGTACTCTTTCAATGGCATTAAAAACAAAAGGCGGTGCTGTATATGGAGGAGCTTTGCAGTATAAGAGAACGACTGTATATCAGAAAATGCTCTGAAATAACGAAATATTCAATAAAAAGTTTTCTCTTTTAGGTTAGGTTTCTGCTGTACCTCTCTAACTCCAGTATATATATATATATCCTTCGGGCGAAACATCTCTTAGTAAAGATACCCAGGTGTTGCACATGTTTGTAGAACATCACTCTGTCGCTATTACATCACTGATCTATTGATTACGTTTGGTTCAGTTTCGCTAGCTCAGATTACGCTACTTTGTCATATTTGGTTAGTTGCAAGTAGCGAGTCGAACGAATCTATATCGTTCCAAACTACACATTCTTCACGTAACGACGTCAGGACTGTCTGAAGCATCGGTTCTCGCCGATATTCCCGAGTCATGGAACCCAAAGTCTTCCCTCACTGCCGTGCTCCACCTCTGGCAGGGTTCCAGCGCTCCAACAAGTGCTCCACCTACCAGGGTCCGCGGGAGAGCATCAGCCAGGCGGAGGCCAACGATTTCCTATCTTCCAGGAATAATTTATCTCAGTTTCTCTTACTTTATTAAGAGGGGGAATTGGGGGGATTAAAGTTAAATTTTCAATCCATGTTCCATTCAATTTATATATACATATATATATATATAATATATATATATATATATATATATATATATATATATATATATATATATATATATATATATATATATATATATATATATTATTATCACACTGGCCGATTCCCACCAAGGCAGGGTGGCCCGAAAAAGAAAAACTTTCACCATCATTCACTCCATCACTGTCTTGCCAGAAGGGTGCTTTACACTACAGTTTTTAAACTGCAACATCAACAGTTTAAAAACTGTAGTGTAAAGCACTACATATATATATATATATATATATAATATATATATATATATATATATATATATATATATTATAGGTAAAATTGGTCAATTAGCAAGAACTCATTTAAAATTAAGTCCTTTTAAAATTTTCTCTTATACGCTTAAAGATGTTTCTTTTTCATTTATGTTAATGTAAAAATTAAAAATTTTGTACAAAAAGAACCTTAGAAAACTTACCTAACCTTATTATAACAAGCGCAATTTAATTCAGCCTAATCCAATTAAATATATTTTTGATAACTTTACAATAATAAACAAACATAATGAAAAATATTTTTTTCGTTAGGTTCAGAATGATTTTTGCGAAATTACTGCATACACAAATTTTCGCTTGCCTTATTCGGCAAGAAGAGCGTTGCTATTTAAGCCAAAATTGCAAGTTTTAACTATTCGGCACGACACACACACACATACACACACACACACACACACACACACACACACACACACCACACACACACACACACACACACAATCTGGGAAATGATGTAGTGGAGGCAGGATCCATACAGAGCTTTAAGAAGAGGTATGATAAAACTCATGAGCAGGAAGTGACCTAGTAGCGGCCAGTGAAGAGGCGGGGCCAGGAGCTGTATCTCGACCCCTGCAACCACAACCAAGTGAGTACACCCCCAACACACACACACATTATGTATATTGCTAATAATCCAGGCACTGGTCGCCTATCCAATCATTCGCTAATCCTTATTCAGTTTAAGTAGGATACATCCATTGTTTATGTACCCATTATTCAGCCATCTATCCACCCTTCATTGCCTTCTTCCTTCACTGTTTTCTTCCTTCACTGCCTTCGGTTGATGTACCTAGGAAACAGAGAGCGTACCCAGTCCTAGGAGACTCGTCCCAAAACTCTAATGCTACCAACGATCCCTCACACAAGTTCACACCCCACAAGTTCTTCCTTGTTCAAGTTTTAATACCCAGATTTATTTCCCACAGTACATGAAATATATTATATATATATATATATATATATATATATATATATATATATATATATATATATATATATATATATATATATACATGGGTTCTAGGTGAGAGTAAGTTGCCTATAAAATAGATATTTTGCGCGTACTCTGCTCATCAGTGACAGAAACACTTGGTAGGAACCTCTTAACTTGCAGAGAATAGTGATTTGGGGATCACCTATATATTAACCTACTTTTTTTTGTATTCTAATTGAACGTATTGGTGAATATACTGTGGAATATAATGTATATATCATAGACATTATCGGTGGATATACCGTGGGATATAGTGTATATATCATAGAAATTATGGGTGAATATATCGTCAGTGACTCGTCAGTTTCGTTGGGGGAAAAAGGAATAGATTATCCCTGTGACTTACAGATACTTGACGTAAGTCATTAAGGATACTTGACCTAAGTCATTTTCACCAAGCTATGAGTTTATTATTTTTTTCATCCAGTAATGAATACTTTGGAAAGAAATATTAATGTGGTAATATGGGCAGCCCACGCTCACTTATATATGGACTAATTTCAAGGTAATATATGGGCTATAATCAAGCCTAAGGAGACTATAAGTCAAATATTGTGGGTGGAACAATTCACTGCAGACCTACAATTCTGAGAGGGGAGCCTTGTAGATGTGTCGGTCCGTCTTGACTTAATGCTGGTACAGGTCGGTCTGAATTGTCCACGACGGACCCAAATGTGTCTTGAAATTGTGAGTAAGAAATAGTTATTGAGAGAAGAGGTAGTAGACTTCTGGATGCATTTTGTTAACTCCCGGATTTAAAGTTTTTTAATTAATGTAACAACAACAACAATAATAATTAAATTTATCTT